ATCACTCTCAAAAGTGGTGATAATCCAGCCTAGTTTTGAAACCGTATACCAGGGTTTGGGGCATTGAGAGCGAGCGGATTACTAACAGGGACAAAAGCGCTCCACCACCGCAGGGATGAGCCACACAGCACCGCTGCATGCTAATCTGGCCCCTATTGAAAAGAGATCGGCAGTACATTAAGCTAGGTTCGAACAAAAGACAGTTACATAACACTGCACAATCTGGGCTCTTTTTACAAGGCTGCAGGCCTGGCTGAAATACTCGGGCGTCAATGAAGGTCACCTGTCAACTTAGAGTAGAGCCTAAAGATTACTTCGTGTGGCTATAAACATTTTTGAAGAATTTTGAAAAAGGAAAAAACGATAATTATGCCGACCCAGCATCATCAACATTGATAAATGCCCCGGAAGGATGTGGTTAAGGTAAGTGTATGTGTTGTTCTGGTCCAACTAAGAGAAGATTACCTTGCCAAAGGCCCAGGCATTGCCTGGCTGTGAATTTTTTTCCCAAACGGTCGTGGTTTTCCGTCTTGTGATTGGTCTATAGTACTTGCATATCTAATACTTCGGTCTTGACCACACAGACCAAACTTAGGCCTTTAGAAGTGTGAGAATTTTCCTTCCTCCCATGTTATTTACAATTTTAAAAAGGAGAAATAAAAACAACACAGCAAATTTGAACTTCGGACGGTGGATTGTAAGTCGGGACTACTCTGGACCACCCCGTACCAGCCAAGCATCAGAGAATGTCATACCCTAATAAACGTTATTATATAACTATTAGAGAATAAATGTACGCGCTTGGCCAGTAAATGTGCATTTAAGACCAGAGAGTTGATGCAGATGCCTGAGCTGCAGGCAAGGGCACTATCAGTGTTCCGTCTCCCGAGCCAGTCTTAATTAAACGTTAGTTTAAGACAAGCTAAGCACATATTTATTCCCATACGTAAATACCTTTTTTGTCAGAGAGTCAAAAGAAGTCAATATATGACAGATTTCCAATGATTTTGTTCTAGAATTTTACTTTCATTTTCTCTAACACCCCTCTGGTCCATTTTATGGTATAATCCTTGTACAAGTTGTCCAAAAGAATCTCCTAATATGGACTTGGTGTGCGTGTGCATGGTGAGATGCATGAGTAAAATGTCTCGTATCCAGGTGCCAGTGCGCAGTGCCAGCGATTTACGCAGCGGGCACTATCTCTTCTTCTCAGCTGGTATTATCGAATGCCAAATATCAAATACACGGTCAAGCTGCACATTGTTGCATAGGGAGACTGAGAGATTTATGAATACTCTTTAAAGCCTTGGACAGAATCATGAATAATGCATAAGCACAGAGAAAGAGTGCCCTCTTTCAAAACTGTTGGATCTCATTTGGAAGAAAAAAAATTCGCAGCTGGGCTTTGGGTGGCAAAGTCACGACTCTAGTTCCGGTTTCCTCCCCTGATAAATATATCATTATTCATATCCCTCGTATCCTGGTTCCTACACTTCGACATCTACTGCTTTCGGCTCTTTCTGTTTCATCTCGCTCCAGTACCGGGCAATGAACAGGCCCTCGCTCTTCACCTTGCGTGCCAGGAAGGGGCCGAAGACCATAGAGCCCAGCTGGAACACGCCACCATTTCGCCCGACTGGCAGAGCCATCATCCTCCCCGCTGGAGTACGTGTACGTGTACGGCGGAAGAATAAAAAGAAAGAAAAGTCATTTTTAGGTAATCATCAGTGAAACCTGACAGGTAGGGCAGATACTTATTTGGGGTACATCGGAGAAGTTTCTGAGTCCGACGAGGAGTTTTGTCATTTCAATCACTTGCAATTCATAGCCTCGTGGTCCTAGGAGAAAAGTGACATTTTAGGCTGACCTGTCTCCGGAAATGGGCACATTTGAGGAGAATATTTCTACGCTCACAAAACTGGTGTCAAATTGATGGCAAGACAATACCGGCAAACCTCCTGAAGGTTAGGTGCAGGAAACAAAATGGCACCGCAACAATATCAGAGAAAAAAATCAAGGGGGGCTTCGGAGGTGCAGATTCTTTTAGGGTATAAAATGCGTGAGTACTGATTGATATCCCCCTTGGCTTAGTTTAAATGAAAAGTAGAATGAGAAAAAGCATTCACAGTTTCTCATGCTTTTCCTTTCAAAAAAAGAGCCCTTTCACAGTTCAAGATCTGTGCCGAACAACTAGATTTTGATGAAAAAAAAAAAAAAACCTCTTCAGGAAAAACTTAACTCTGACAGCATTTCAGTACAGACGGGACAACATGGGACGCAAATCTTCTCTTGAGGTTCACTTGGCAACCAACCGTTGGTTGAGTTTACCTGGTGGAAGGATGTACATGTATATTGTGCACGGGTTACCAGCTAAAATTGACCAGTGATCAAAAACTGGCTGTCGCTTGAACTTGCCCCCGGAAGGATGAGTAGCAAGAAAAAGTTGCAGCCGCCCCCTCACAGCGATGAAAATGACTCTCCCCCTCCCCATACCGCGGATGGCTTCACGACTCACGTGCGGGCCAGGCTTTCAGGTCAGTCTTCCCCTGGGCCAGCAGCTGCAGGTTCTTGGCCACCAGCTCCCCGTGCTGTCCGGCAAAGTAGGCCAACTTGAGCTGGTGGATGTTGCAGCAGTCTCCAATGGCAAAGACGTCATCCAGGCCCTCCACCTGAAGGTACTTGTTCACCTTGAGGTGGCCTGTCCCCTCCACTCTGTCACCTACGGAAAAGACGACCAAAAATGACATCTTATCGGGGGCAGCATAAGAAAAACATAAGACTTCTCAGTGGAACTTTTCTCGGAGAATGATAATGATAAAATGTATTCTCTAAGTTTAATAGGGAATGTGCATGTACATGTGCGAGTTTCCTCCAAAAGAATATCCAAAGTCCTTTTGAAAAATATCGAACTTTCCTTCTCAAAACATGTTTAACCCTAACCCCCAAGGGTTTATAGCCCTAACCTTCCCCATTCACACAAAGTTAAACACCCATATGGAACCAGAAGTTATCGTGCAACTTCAGCGATCGTCCAATGGGAGCCTTCAAATTGTGGCGCGTCTGCCTTTGTGACGAAGTCACTTACGAACTGGATTCAACAATGCACAATATGATCATGTATTGACAACATCCATTGGCATCTGGAAATGAGAGGGTTTAATCCATTCCGACTGGTCAGTCTGTGTATGCTGCAGCACACAGAACTCACCACGTGCACCAAGTCCATATAAGGAGATTCTTGTGTACAACTTGCACAAGGATAATACCATGATATGCACAGGGTTTTAATGAAATTGAAAATAAAATTCCTGTACAAAACATTTGCAAAGTTACTGTATACTGATTTCATTTGACTCTCAGACTAAAACGGTATTTATGAATGGGAATATAAATATGGGCTTGCTGGGTCTTAGAGTGTAATGTACTGCCTATGGTTCGAGCATTAGTCACATTCATTCTCCTGAGCCAATCTTAAATGCCAATTGCGACCAAGCACATATTTATTTCCCGAGTAATAACGGATTTCCACCATCCAAATGTACACAAACTTGCAGTGGGAATGATGGCCTAATGTAGATTGGGGATACAAACAAATGTGACTCACTGAGTGACGCGGCATAGGCAGAGGAATTGCAGGGCTGCCCCACGCACACCAACACCAGGTCAGCTTCCACCTCTGTCCCCTTGTCTGTCTTGACTGTGCACCGGGACGAACCGTCGGTAGGTAGATCAGCAAGATTGGTCACCTTCTCACCTGGTCCAAAAGTAAGAGATACGTGTGGCAGTAAGAACCTCTTTTTTGTTGAGTGTCCTTGCATCCTCGCATATTTACCAACATAGCCCAATGTGGAGCACGGTAATACAGCTTTTGTAATAGGAAAAAGGTGTGTGTGAAAGAACACATTCTCACAACTGAATTTTCGTCAGAATGAGTACAATCCAGTAGTGGGGCATATGGTGGCACTGGCATTCATAAGGTATCCTTTTTGCCCCTCTCTTTTCGCTACTTATACTCTTGTCTACAGACATGACAGAGTCCAACATAATTATCTTTCACTAAATAGAAAAAAATTTACAAGCACTAGAAAGAGAAAAGAAAACAAGAAACCCCCAAAAAGAATTTGTCTGAAAATACCTGAGTTAACTCCCCCCTCGTTACTGTTTACTGATAGTGTGTCAATTTGCAACTAATGTTTGCTTTTTTTCTTCCCACCTCAAACGGGAAGAGCTCGGACCCCTTTCTAGCCATGCCAAAACTTGAATGATCCATCTCGTACAAATCCCTAATTTGGGAGCTGATAATCTTGAAGCTGAGGGAGACCTGCTGACAGGGAATTAACATCCTTCTCTGTGGCGAGTGGGGGTGGCCGTCACCTTACCCAGAACCAGCTTGACGCCTTTGGCCCTCAGCTGTTCCTCCGCCCCTCTCCGGAATTTGGGGGAAAAATCCCCCTCCACCAGGTAGTCCCTGGAGTGGATCAGGGTCACCTGCTTGTCTGAGAAGTCTGTGGTGATCTCTCCTGCCATCTCCACCCCGACAGCTCCGCCACCGATGACCACAATATCCTTGCACGCCTTGATCTTTGAGGAAATGTGGAGTACAGGGACATTTTTGAAAGGAATAACATAGCACAGGTTCAACGCAAAAAATGTGACGAAACTGTGATTTTTTTTGCCTTTGAGAAAGATTCTGCTAGGATCGAAACGTCAGGCCCTCCATATTTTGTGATTTGTATTTTAGGTCACTGTAGTCAGCAAGCAGTTTACAGCAGTTTTGTAAAACATATGTTCTAAAATATTGCGATTAATTCTTTGACTTGTCCATGAATGAGGCAAGACAGCAGTCAACTTTCACATTAAGCCACAGGCTGCAAAGACATATTTAAGCAGCACTTGTATATTTCTGAAGACAACCTCAATTTCTAAATCCAGGGTACAAATATTACTACAGCAGCTAGTCCTCAACAAGGAGACACTGAATTATGCATGAAGATGTGCACGAGACATCACTGCTTGGTACTAAAGCGCCCTCTATCGTACATGCACACAGCCCACAGCCATTTCTTTTTCAGTACCTTCTGTAACATGTCAGTGTACTGGTTGATGTACACAGAGGAATCCTCCCCCCCTGAGATTTTGCTGGGGAAGGACCCTCGGCTCCCCGTCGCTACGACAAGGTAATCGTAGCCGATATCCTCTCCCCCAGCAAGGCGGACTTTCTTCGCGCCCGGGTCAATGGCCTCCACGGTACCCCGCTTGAAGCTTTCCCCAAAGGTCGGGGCGTAGGGAATGAGGGTTTTTCTAGCAAAACCTGAGGAGGGAAACGAAATGGATCTTTAGTCATTTGGGCAACAGTTCGTATTAGATCATCAAAGTAACTTCATCAGTGAACCCACTCAAGTGTTAATAGGGATTTCTGTTAATATTAGAGGGATCTTTTTCCGGAAAGAAAGAATGTTCAGTACCTCAGGGGAACAAGTGTTTATTGGCAGGGTGATTTTACACTGACTCACAAGTGACATTCAATAATCATTGTGGTCCCCTACATGGAATTCTTCCCAGTAATTTTTGGGTGAAACAATTCAGGTCTTTGCAGGACATGTAAGGTGGCAAATACAAGTCCACAATTTCGATTGTGTTGAGAATTCTAACACAATCACTCCTTACTTCTTCCAAATCATGCTCAGTCTGGATGTGAATCTGCTCTGTTTCTTATGAATGAGAAATAAATGAGTGGCTTAAATACTACATGTATGATAGTTCTGATAAAGTTTAAGACTGCGTTTTTAGGTTGTTGACAATCTGTGGATGCTGTTTGTTTGCTGACGCTTGCCAATGCTAATTAAGCCTATCACTGTCTTTCCTCACCGTCTTCAGTGCAAGCCCGGAGTGCACCGATGCAGTGGTGGAAGGCCTCCTTGGGGTCAATCAAAGTCAGCTTGCATTTCCCCTGCAGTTTGAGGGCTACCACAATCCCGCCGTAGCCCCCGCCGATCACCACCACGTGCTTGTCTTGAACAGCCGCGCTTTGCTTTCCACCCATGGCTTTGAGGCACTTTTCTTTTTTTTTTCCGGCTGGAAAAGAGAGAAAAAGTACATACTGTACATGTACTAGCACTGGCATGGCGACGGAACAAGCGCATTTATGTTTTTTTGGTACTTAGCAATTTTACCGCAGCAAATCTTCATCTTGTTCTATGTTAATGGTCAAGCAGACTGAATAAACCATAATGTTATACAGGTTCCATGCCGGTTCGGAAAAAGTGAAAAAATATTTAATATGATACAGTTAACAATGGATGTTCAACATGTTCAACCCAGGCAGTGGCATATTAAGTTTGTACTGTATCGGAAAGTGGGGAGATGGGGAAAGGTGGGGGGTAGCGTTTGACTTACATGTTCCCGGCAATGAACATTTGAAAAGTGGGGGGGGGCACCAAATGACTGTACATACAGGCCCATGCTCATGCTGTTGATGTACATGTACATGGTGTACAGGTGTACTGTATCTACATGTACCATGCATGCATGTTACATCCATGCAGAATATTACATGTACATCAAAATGATATCATTACAGCTTTGTAAACGGTTTTCCTTTTTTGGAGTGTTACTGAATGCATTTTTAAAAGTCGTCTGAAAAATCCTTCACAATCTGCTTTAACCGTGTTTGCAAGATTCAATCAACAATAGCCCACCCCCCCTGGGTGTGTGGAGGAGGGATATATGGCCCCCCTCCCATCCCCCTACCCAAGGACCCAGGAACAGGGTTCTAAGGCTCACGTTTAACGTTTGTTACCAAAGTCCAAATGCTGGGGGAAAAAAAATGTATGAGCAAAGGACACATTCAAGTTACAAGTTCTAAATTGAGGTTTTTCAGGTGATGTCGCTTGACCGGCAAGGGCAGTTCAAGAAGCGTTCCAAGTCTGCAAGTGGTGCAGGCACTTTAAAAAATGCATCTTTCAGTAGGCAATATCATGTACAGTGTACAGAATGGCAAGGGACTTTAAGGGCGCAAACCTATCTACGCGCATCTGTGTATATTGAACACTGACTGTCAAAAAATCACGTAACTGAAAACCTCTAAAGGCTAGAATGATGTTCTGGCAATATTTACACGTAAGGCCCACCGTACTGAAGAAACATTTTCAAAAAACTTTGCCCAATCTAAAAATATACTGAAATTTTTCTTAAAAAGTGCTCTGAGTCATCAAGTCATGGTGAATTGCAATTTATTGCATTGTGTCACATGGTATGTATTTTTCTCCTTTTTTTGAATATAAATTGCTGAATTTTATCTGTCATTTGTTGATTGAGACTTTTTTTACCTTTTTGGGCTTCTGGACCTGATTTCCCTGGGTCAGTGATAAGCACGGTGTTTTGGGTAGTTTTATAGAGTCCATGAGAAACCCCTAGAGACCTGCCAAGGTTGATCTGCTACCAGAGAGGTTTTGTGGTCAGTAGCCTAGGCACAATTAGTAGTACATTCAAATTACCACACAAGAGCACACCAGTATGGATGTATGCACTTATACATGGGGCCTTGTGGGATACCGGAACAATGGGAAGTACCCCACAAGGCCAGTTTTTACCTTGTGAATTTCACGAAACTGATATTTGGAAATAACTCAAAAAGGGGAAATTTTTGATTGGTAAAAATCTGTCGCAAATTGAAGTGTTTTATATAAGGGACATACGGTCGAAATTTCAACCAAGGAAAGTGAATTTGGTTTAAATTGGAGTGATTTGAAATTTTTTTGCGTGTTGGGTGAGAGTTTTGTACACGAGAACAAAGGAAATACCCCACAAGTATAGCTGTGTAAGGATGGGTTTACATGTACTCTGGCAAAATCAGGTCTAGAAACCAAAAAGGTAAACAAATTTTATAACTAAATAGACTGTGTAGTCATTATTACTGGCTGTACCGTTCACGATGTCCTCACTCTGTAAACAGAACCAGATATGTTACGAGCAGTACAATTGGGAATTTATCCTTCAGATTTTGTTGGATGATATTTTGCCTACCAGGTTTGACTAAAACTTAAAAGTGTTGCTTGAAACTTGCCACTTCTGTCAAAGCTGGCTACACACTAAAATTCACTCCATAGAAATAAACAATTTTTGTACACAGGTATACATAAAAAAAACCTAAAATACATAGCCTAGGCTTAATTACACATGTACGGTACGCACAGTGTACATGTACGGGGCCCCACATATAAGCTGGTTAACCATGACTCAGCATTTTGTAATCTTGAGCAATTTCAATCCATTTTTAGGTCGGGCAAAATTTTTATGAACTTTTATTTTTCAATATGTTGGTTCTTGAATATTGCCAGAACATCACGTTTACTTATTCCAAACTTGAAATTAAACTTTTTGGAAATTTAGGACACCATTCATGATGGAGTTGAAGGCTGATGATCAAAATAAAAAAGACTTTAAGTCAAACGATGACGATGCGTGCGCCGCGCTGAAAGCATTGGCCATGCTAGTGTTGCTAGCATGATCGCCGAGCAAATCCTGTGCAACGCAGCAGCAAGTTATAATCAGAAACAAACAATATAACGAACTGGTACCTGAAAGACTTGTTTTTAAATGCCAGCACCGGGAGAACACTCTTTGCCTCGGTGGAATACTTCGCGGAAAAGTAATCCGCTCTGGCTGTTGTTGAGTTTAGACAGGTTTCTGTCTACTTTCTTGCACTCGTCATGTAAGCAATGGAAACAGGAACCAGACCAGTCTACACCAAATGGATCATAATTATGTATACATTATCTCACACTAGTCATTTACACCAGTGATAAATCCCTGTTATTACGCGCAATCCTGAATTAATTATCCTATGAATGGATGTTATATAAATGCAAAGGTCAAATCAACTCGGGATGAGTACAACACATTTGCGCGACGTTCAAGAATGCGCTAAATAACTGGGTATTCAGGCCGCAAAGAAATTTGCCCGTCCATTTTTCGAGTCCGCAGTGGGTAATTGCCATGACTTTTGGAAATTCTCCCCCAGAAAGAAAGCAGACCACCCCTAAAACGAAGGGCATTTCTCCAACTGGGAAAGTACATGTAGCTATTTTAGTAGCTTTGTAGGCCCACTTTATAAAACCTGGAACCACATTGATTGGCTAAAGCTACGGAGGTGTTGTTGCGCTTAAAAGCATCCCTCAGCCAAAAAGCAAATCGGACAATATTGCCCTTATATAGGAGAAACCGCAGGGAGTAATGATCGGCGTGGCTATATGGCGTTTTACACGTTTTGAATACGAAAATATATTGCCTGTGTACATGCCTGGTGCATCTTGAAGGTGCTTCTTTCCTACCCTCTAACACAAACGTTCTATTTTGTGGTCCATCTTATCTGGGCTCATTTTGTTGTGGATATGCCCACTTTGGGGTGGATCCAAGGTAAAAAGGGGAAGGCGTTTCTAATAAAAAAAAACACAGTTGGACTGTGGAAATTGTACATGGAGGTCTGGATCTCTGGGGCGTTTGGCTATTTCTCAATTTACTGCAACAAAGAAACCCCAATAGAAGATCACAGACACAGACACCAAAAATAAATCCATTTATTTTAAAATTATTTTAAAAATACTCACAACTCTCACAGATGTCCAAGCTGGACAGCAAAATAATGTTCGACATATCGTCTTTCATTTTCCTTTTTTTTTTGCTGGTTGACCGATGAATTATTGAGAAATTCTCACTTACAGCAGACCACCCCTAACTTTTGCCCTGAAAAGTAGCGATTTTGACAATGCATCCCCTGCAAAATGGCTAAATAGTGCCACTTTTGGACCTGATTGCATCAAAATTGCTCAGAATTTGAATGCCTGAGTCCAGGCCAGAGGTTAAGTGCCTTCAATTTCCCAATTCCACGGCCCTCAAGAGTCTCTAATATAGAATATTTTGAGTGTATAGCTTTTATTCATGAGTCTAGGAGGACATATTTCTTGTCTGTTTACGTTGGTGAACTCTGACGGGCTGGCTGACTGGGAAAAGTAACGTAAACCCGACTTGATTCAAGTCTACAGGCATATCGATCAGGAAAGAACTCTCCTTTATAATTCACTGGTAGAGTTCTGACGACTACCTATCCGTGTAAACAGTGTTTTTGAGACATTCCTGACCCCCCTCCATAAAGAATCACGTTGACGGGGCATGAATTACATGCGCGAATTCACGTCCCCTTATTTTGCCACATACATATGTACTAACACGTACATATTTCATATTTCATGAACTCACCTACTCTGAATAAATCCCGAATGAATGCATTAATAAATCGGTAATTATTAAACCTTTGAATTAAACAAACTTCTTATGACTGGGAAAATGGAACGTCTTTTCAAATTCCCAGTTGGTGCGTGGCGGCCGCAACAAGTGTTGGGGCGATTCAATACTGTCACAGTATAAGTCAAAACTACGATAACTGATAATGTTCGCTCCCCCCCAACCGCAGGCCCGCCCCGCCCTTTCGGGGGTATCTACTATTAATTTTGTTCGATTATACTCAACCTTATAGTATCATTCTATCGATAAAGGCAATTTCTGAACCACTTTGATTGCTGCTTTGTGGATGAAACAAGCAAACAACCCCCCCCCCAGAAAAAAGCAGAAAACAAGTTTATTTCTTCGATTCAGTCTGAACCAATCGGTCCCGTTTTATGGCAGGCATCGGTTGTTGAGAAAATGATGTACAGTACATGTGATTCTGTTTACTGCATGTACTAGTTATACTGTCTATTATGCTTCGAACGTGATGCAGCTGCGAGTGACAGTGAATAATGAGGTCAGTGGCCAGTGAAGGACAGCGAGTTTCAGCACAGCAGCAATAAGGAAGCTTTACGTAACACGCATGAAAGAGACGAGTATTCAGAGTGGACAAGAGGACAATGGGTGAATAGTTGTTGTCCCCCGACTGTACTGTCGCCGCGGTTTAGGCAATGTACAGAACATTCAACGATCTCCAAGCTAGTGGCATTTCTAAGTTAAGGCTGAGAGGAGGCTGAACTGTTGGGTCTAGTTTTCAAATCAAGCAGGGAAGATAATTAAGTCATTAAGGCTGATACAGAGCTCTTCCCAGCATACTGGACCTCCGCTTTTTCCCATCATGTGCGAAGCCATTGCGTTGCATGACTTTAATGCCACGGCTGACGATGAACTGTCTTTCAAGAAAGGTTCAGTCGTGAAAGTAAGTAGCCAGACAATTATTGCACGTACGAACGAGCATACAGCTGGAGAGGTTCAAGGTACAATGTACACTCCAAAAGGCATGCAATGTGGATGTCGACATTTCCCATGTCGATGTCGACATTTCCCCTGGCTTTTGGTTAAGACAACTTCAGTTTATGTATTTCTTGTACAGTGTCTTTCGATAACATCATAGCGATAATTATTGGTTAAACGTTAATATGTAGTCACGAGCAGGATTCCAGGTATTTAGACCAAGGGCAGAAAAAAGCAAAGGCCTTTTTTCACAGTGAAATGTAATTTATTTTATATTATCTACAATTTCATTTGCCTTCCTTTAGGGTGTGATCCCCCCATATTGGCCTCACCATTATGGCCCTGCAAAGAAAAATATCCGAGCTCTAACAATTCCAGGTCTAGCACTGATTCAAGCACAGCTTTCTCGATTCGATTTGTTCGAGGAAACCGAAGCTTCCATGGGAGTCCAAATTACAGTCTGGGGAATAGTTCCCAATACGGACATCATTAATGTTTAACTTATGGTGTAAGTCGGCCACCATACCAGGAAGCGATAATATCAATATCCCAATAAGTTAAATCACACAGGGAAACCATCGAACCATTTACTTGGACCCCCCAAAATGCAAATTTTCCAGGCCACTCTCGTGGGGTTTGTACACCGGGTATCACGTGATGTCCGCTCTTTCTGAAAACCATTTTCCCCAACATTCAGAAAATTCAAATGTTTTTAAAAATCTTCTGCACTTGTGACGTTCATCATAGATAATGAGGCCTTCTCAGGAGGGCGAAGGCTGGTTCGTTGCTGAGCAAGATGGCAAAGACGGACTAGTGCCGAAGAATTACGTCCAGCTTAAGCAAAACGAGTGAGTGAGAGAGGAAGTCGCCAGCCTCTTATAGGGTTCTAAAGATCGAGTTCCATATACGGACACCATGACTTGACATCCTGTGCACAAACCCTATGGGATTGGTCTGAAAAAATGTGTCTTGTAAGTAAATGATTGGCCATGTCCCCTCTAAAATTGAACTTTTCTGGACGTCCTTTTGCTTCCTGATGGCTGATACGTCACTGTGGGGGAAAAATATTGCGTCCTGACTCTCTTTTCCCATCATATATCATCTCAATAAAAGTCAGTCATTACAGAAATGCTGGAAAGACACGAATTCTGGACTGAGAAACATTGACCGGTGTTGTTGGGAAATACTTACAAAATTCTCTTCACTCCCCATAGACTTGGTACACAACTGCTGAAGTGGAGTCAGGATGCAATATTTGTTCCATTGTGGGGGATAATTACTGGCGTCTGTATATGGAACTCTTTCCAAAGGCCCTCTCCCCTTTCCCTCCTTATATAACACCAAGGGCTTCTCAGCATACGCCCCCACCCAGTGGAAAGCACACTTGTATGATTTTTTTACATTCAAAAAGAGGATAATAAACTTTTATCGATAAATACCTGGGACACCTTTCCTTTTGAGACGCGTTACATGGCCGTTTAGTAACATTATGATACAATGCCTGATGCGAAGTGATAATGCCCGCTGCGTAAATCCCGCGCTTGCACCTGGATACGAGACGGTTTAACCGATTCTGATTGGTCAGGAGGCAATATGAACTACCGAACTCAACTATCTGATATGCATCTACAAGGTCGACTAAGCACATTGTGCCCGTTCATAAATACCTTACGAGTCAGAAAGTCAATGCAAGCTGAAATGATGATTTCCAACGTTTTGTTCACCGGTAGTCACTTTTTTTTCATACACCTTTCTAGCCATGTACGGTGTGTGCCTCCGCGAGACGAGAAGGTGCTTTTATTAATCGTTTAAGTCCAGCCACATGACGGGGTCTCGACTTTTAGAAATGGCTTAACTCTGTTAGGTACATGTATTCTGTGAATGCTAAACATGTTCAAGAGCATCTCTAAGGAAAACATGTTTTCTCTGATTTTATCTGTTCAAATAAATGTGGAAGCATCCAAATCGAACGCAGCGTCATCTATCTTCAGAGCTCAACTACAACAAGCTAAAAAGGTTATTTCCCTCATGCCAAGATGCGAATTGTGAATGTAGATTGTGTCATTCAAAGAAAAAAAGAGGAAACGAGGGGAACCCTCGACCGGTGTATATCGTTGTGGATGAACCCTTGTGCATTTGTGGCCATTGGTTGGCACACGCAAGTTGAGCTCTGAAGACAAATGACACTGCGTTCAATTTGGATGCTTCTTATTTATTTCAACAGATAACATAAGAGAGAGTATTTTGATGGATTGTGCTCAATCTTCAAAGAATGATGCATTAGGCGCCAAATGTTTTGCATGCAGTCAAACCTGTTTACAGTATGATATGCAAGATTGTGTGTTATGGAAAAAACAGCCTTTTTACATCGTTACACGTGTAGTTTGAATAATAATCGACTCGATGTTTTTGTGCGTGAAGCTTCTTGGAGAAGAAGGTTACCAGACTGGAAGCTGAAAACCTCCTCAAGGACGACATTGATGGCGCCTTCCTCGTCCGGGATAGTGAAAGTACCCCAGGCGACTTCACGCTGTCGGTGAAGTGAGTTCTAAATAATGCTCCAACTGCTTGTGCATGTATATGAGCCTGTGGTTTTTTTTTCGCACTGACCCTGATTTCGATCTAGACCAGTGGATCCCAACGCTGGTTCGCTCCATCCATTAGGCAGGTTCTCGTGTCAGTGAACCAACGTCGGATCACTGATCGCGTTTAGGGTCTGCCTGAATCAAACAGGCTAGTTACAGCGTCTGTCCCAGCTGTACAGTCGGGAGAGTCCCAAGTAAAGTGCTAATGTGTGCAACATAATGCACATGGGCGTAGCCCTATATCCCGGAGGATATGAGGGTATCCGGTTCGTAAGTGTGACGTCACTTCAGTCAAACCACACCCACTGCACATGCACTGCACATAGAGTTACATGCATTGATCGCCGTTGACATGGAACCGGAAGTTAACGCGCAATTTCATCGATTGTCCAATGGGAGCCTGCAAATCATGGTGCGTCCGCCTTTGTGACAAAGTCACTTACGAACCGGATATATTTCCCACACTCTTAGGGGGTAGGTAGGCTGTTGATTCACACCCTGCATACTTTCTCATGAAGAGCAAAAAATTCAAGGACATCCTGAAGACTTTCGGACTCCCCAACGACTAGCAATATCTTTCGAAAAGGGAAAACAAGAAAATCATTAACATGTATGCCGTTCTAACGTAAGATACTGCATGAATAATAATGGTAATAAATATTACAGAAGTACATCTGCATCATGAATATCACCAGTATGATGTCATAATGCTGTTAGTCCCCCCTTCAGATTTCCATGGCCAGGTAAGCCATCCCCCCACAAAATCACAACCCCGCCCTCTGCGCCTCTGCCTCATTAAAACCCCCATCCTATGATGTCATATGCTGTTAACCCCCCCCCCCTTTCAGATTTGCATGGCCTGGCAAGTTATCCTCCCCATCCTCATTCCAACCCCACATTTTTGGCACAAAGTTACACCACCGACAACACGAGTTGTCATTTCCTATAATTTCGGTGACTCGTACTAGCATAAGGAATCCTTTGTTTATCAAATTAGCAGTATACTTTGACGAATTCTTTCAGTGAGCCGCGAAAAGAAGGTCGAAAAAGTTTCCACCAGCAGTGTCTGATATTTCTTCATCCTACAGGTTTGGCAATGGAGTGCAACACTTCAAGGTCTTACGAGACGGCGCCGGCAAGTACTTTCTCTGGGTAGTGAAGTTTAACTCTCTGAACCAACTAGTGGATTACCACAGAACCTCGTCTGTCAGCCGCACCCAAACCATATATCTCAAAGACCGGACGGTAAATCACAATTTTCTTTACTTTGTTTCCTTAAAGTAATAAATGTTATGAGTTCACCCTGAGGAATAGAGTCATAAGATGACACGTAGCGTGGTCGCTTCGTTGAATGGAAGATTCCCTTCACTACCGAATGAACATGTTGTTGCACAAACGTTCACTGTCTCTTTCATACATCGCCTGAATAAATCCTTTTTCATCTAGGATTCCAGAAAGTTGCTCTGGCCAAGTAATGGAGCTTCCAATTGCTGTTAGAATGGAGTTTATGTGTGTTTTTTGTATGTGTGAAGGGGGCCAGTGCACCAAGTTTGGGGATGCATATTAGTAAGTCAATGACTCAGCGATCCACTGTGTTTTGTCGCGCCAGCTGCACTTTGTCATCGCGCTGCCAAGCGTCCTGCGTGCATGTACACCGGCCTGCGTGGTGACGGACAGCACAATGTTTGCAGCGTTAAAGACATCTGCATTCCGGCTAAGCTGAAAAACCCGAAAAACAGGAATGCTCCATATTGTACTAACGTCCTCAATTAAGGCTAAGAACAGTGACGAGAATCGAAAGTGCAATCAGTTGAATTTCAAAGGCAGCAAAATCATCCGGAGGCCCGGGGTCAGTCCCATGACATCTGCGAAAAATGCGCCATTTTTTCTCGTCGCACGATTCTTAGTGTGCGCCCGGAATTGACAAACGCAATGTTTGGCGCAGGTATACATCTCGGTGCTTCTAATGTGATCAGGATGCCATCGAAATGCATTTGAAAGATTTTAAATGACAAATTGGGTCAATTTATCAACATGCTGTCAAATCCAAGTCACAGATAATACCGGCGTTTCACAATAGTGCGCCACCAAGAGATTGCAATGCGTTGACCAATCACAATGCGCGAAATTTGTCGACCCAATGCGCGTTCGGAAAGGGTCGACAAATTTCGCGCGCTGTGATTGGCCAACGCGTTGCCAACTCATGGTGGCGCACTATTGTGAATCGCCCCTATTAAGTTGTCACATTTCATTGAAATTGGGCAGAGGCTTAGTAAGTTGGTTTAGCTTTAAAACAGCATCCGTTTATAAATCTTTAAATTAAGGATTTTCGTGTTCTTCAATCATGCCTTTATCCGCCTACAGTAGGAGCACCCCCTTATCGGTTGAAAAGATCCTTGTTGGTCGAGAGTGCTCACTTTGTTAGTAGCGTTGTGACTCCAACGCTTGCGTTTCACAGTCGTTCGAGAACCAGCGATGTGCAGTTACTACCAAAGGAATCTCCGTTGCCAAGGAATTGGGCCCTCTATTGGCACAGCGTGGAGTCCATGGGGGATTGACCCAGCTTGTTCCAGGTTTAAAGGGCATATTTTCCAGCCACACCAAAGCTTTGGGTTTAAAGGGCTTAATGCATCGATCCAAGGCCTCCATTGACCATGCAACCCCCAGTCTTCTTAAAAAGGACCTCTTAGTGTCTGTCTCGTTGTAATTTATCTGTCTTCATTTTGACTTCAGTCTGCATCCAAAGAGCTCTACGTGGAAGCAGCATACGACTTCGCCGCCACAGAAGAGGGGGAACTAGACTTCAAGAAGGGGGAGAAGATTCTGGTCCTGGATAAGTCGGACCAGAACTGGTGGAGAGGCCGGCTGGAGAGTGGGAAAGAAGGAATGTTCCCAGTCTCTTACACTAAAGAAATTAAATAACTTTGCCCACAGCGATATGTAATTTCTGATATATATGAAAGGAACAGATCTCCAACAAAGTTTATAAATCTTCTGCCTATCTTAACAGATCGCATCAATCCAATTCAAACAGGTGCTTAAAACTAAAGGATACATTAACAAGAGAATAGGGCATGAAAAGGAAAAGAGAGACGGAGAGAAAAAAGCCCAAGAAAATAGGAAAATGGCTACATTGTTAGTTGGTTTAGTAAATTTGATGGTTACCTTCCATCTTTCATGTTATCTGGGGTCCATATTTTCCTTGCGGTAATCCACATCCTGGGAGGGGGATATATACATTTTCTTTTTTGGAAAACACGACCCTCCAAATGTTTTCTTCCGCAAAATATTTCTACCCCCAAGAGAGATGGTAGTGCCGTTTGTAGACGCTGACGTACGATTTCAATTCCTAAAACAATTGCAACATAATTTTCTGGGAGAGGGTAACTTTTACCCTACCCATCGCTGGATTTGGCACTCACCTCCCATGGGCCGTGGGCCTTGGTAAAATATGAAAGTACACGTGTCTTTGAAAGTTTTTGCACAGCATGAGACGTTGACTCGTCTGTCTGGCTTTGACCATCACTTTACTCATAAAATTGGCCTACAACTGAATTTTTTAAATAGGCTTACTGTATGAATCGGTATCTCCAGCATGATGTGGGGTACATTATATTTTCGATCGGAGAGCAAGTCGTCAATTAGCCACTTGCGAGTTAAATTTGAATAAAATCTGGTACACTGTTATCTGATTGCATAGAAACGTAACAATTTGAATTCCCCAGACTAAAGACACTGTTGCTATACCTCGTGATTCGGGGCAAGCTTTTGCATAGCGACCACCATCTCTGGATTGGACTGGTTCCCTTGTGCCGTTCTTATTGTTGTGAAGAGTGTATTGTTGCTAGGCGTCTCCTACGTAACTAAGCAAAAGCTTGCCCCGAATCACGAGGTATAGCAACAGTGGTTTTAGTATGGAGAATTCAAGTTGTTGTGTTCACGTGAATTTAAACAAATGGTTTATTTGGAATAGGTTGGGCAATTGTTAAATTTTGTGTTTAATTATTTTGCCTAAATGTTCTTTTGTTATATTTGCTATTAAAGACATACCAGCTGGACTTCTTTTCAACCCAAACAATGAGCATTCATTCAGATGGGTTTCTCTGTGCTTTATTTTGTTGTCGTGTGTGTGTGTGTGACTTACGTCACAAGTCACAAATAATTTGGTCTCAATTAACGTCATAGAGGTTATGCGTTCACTCGTTAACTCAGAGGGCACAGGTTTTGTATAATAGGGATAGGCCCAAGTAAATTGAACCTTTTGTGCATTGTTGTACATGTAACTAAATAACTATTAGAATATCAAAGGCAGCCTCTGACACAACATGGAGACGCCGGCAATGCATAACCTATGTTAAAGTTCTCAGAATTTTTCACACTACTTTTGACAGAGTCCCTGGTTACTTCAAAGAATCCTCTAAGTGATTTAAAATTAGCCACAACGCCACTTGTCTCTATATGTGGTTGTTATGAAGTACGACGAGACGGAAGGGCTTGTATACTTACGCAAGCATAGCAGAGTTGATGGCGGTTACAAGCCCCAGCGAACAGTTCTTGTATCCGTCGGCGCCAAGGTTGCCATAGTTACTAAGTACATGAATTTTACAGTCGCCTACAAGATACTGCAGTGAAGGACATTCATCATCGCCGTCTGATGAAAAGACGGAGCAGGAAAGTGGGTAATGTGACAGTGATTTGCACGAAAGATATGATTTCTTCATCTGCGAGAAATTAATGACCTCTGAAACACGGACCGGACAAACTTATATTTACGGGCGGCCTTCCATTCTCCATGTATCTCGTGGGATCATACTGCGCATGAATGGGTCTGAAGGCCCGCAGAAATTGGCCGACTCCTGCTCGAGTGAATCTGGAAGAGTTCGTGGTGGATTACCAGGGGGTGGTATGAGGAGGCTCAAAACATCTTTGGTTTCTCAGGATTTTTTGGGATTGAGACTAAATTTTAAGACTTCTGTTTGGGAGAAATTTCAAAGGCTTCGTAATTAGAGACGCTATATCCTGGATGTTCGTTATCATTTTTCAAATAGCACCATTCAGCGGCTGCAGTGTACGAAAGCGCAACCTCGTTCCCATGCGTACGATCTCGCCGCGCTATGTTTCTTCCGGCACCATGCCCTTTGCGATCTTTGAAGGAACACACACGCAGCCAATGGAGTCGGAGTTGACTAATGTGACCTTATGAGGCCAGTGCCTCCGAGTGCATTAAAAATGAAACCAGTAAGACGAGAGTGCATCTTTAAACCAATGCCGCGGAAATAAACAAAACTGCTCCTTTAAGTCGGTTATAGTCCCATATGTCCCACCTCCCCCTGTGCCACTGGTGAGGGTTGCGGGAGGATCCTGCTTACGAACCCACCTGGTCCTCCCTCTTGGCCTGCCTGCTGCTCATCATTGGTCCCACCCGGGGAGTTCCCGTTCTATTCCGCCTCCTCCTCTTCTTCCTCAAGCATGTCTCCGTCCTGCTTTTAACCTGCCCCGCCTCCTGCCCCTCCAATTCTGCTTGCTCTTCCATCTTCTCCTAGTCCAGCGCAATATCTTCGATGGCCTGATCGATTCTTCTTTTTCAGAAATTGCATTAGATCATTGTATACTGCAAAGTAAATAATAATAATAATAATCAGGTTTTGTGGTTTTACCACTTCAAAACGCTTCCATGGGACTCCTATCTGAGAAGTCAAAACTCATTTCCGTTTTTCAGCAAGAAGCTCAAAAATCAACCCTGAATAATGCATAAGACATTAAATGTAGGCCTATTCGTAACACCTCAGTTTTTGACACACCCTAGTTGCACGTGTACTTAATGCTCATATATTGTTTTAAATGTCAATGTAATTATAAAATAAGTCTTGGTTCACGGGCGACAGAAAGGAAGGTAGCCAGCCTCACGCTGGAATAGGTAAAATATGCATGTGATTAAATACGTATACTGTCGAAAAAAATTGTAGCTTTTAAAAGTAAATAAAACCCCTTAGAGATGGCCACAAACGAGTCCATTTAGAATGTATGATTCAAAGCTGGCATCGCTGGAGGGCGCTTGTACCCCAACTCGTGCCGACGTCATCGGTAGTCTAGAACTCGCGTCCAAGAGAAGTCCGTTATTTTGGGGGTATGGAGTCACGAGTGGTCACTGTGATCGCATGTCTGCTGTTGACGTCGTTGGCGAGTCAACAAAGTTTGTTTCGATGCCAGGGTCCTGATAAAAAGCTAAACAAAAGACCAGGGGGAAGGGTACACCTACCACTAGGTGGCGCTCTTCGCCTAAACAATGTGCACATTTGCATCAGTTTGCAGCGTTACCTTTGACATGCCTTTACGTTTTTATATTGCATAAATTGGGAAAATAAGATCGGGTCCCTCGTCTTTCCCGCGGGTCAGTGAGTGTGTGGAAATATATCGTTGCCCCCATGGGATTTAGCCCACGTGGTCTCCTTACAAGTCTAGATACAGAAAATGAACCACCCTGCACCACCGTTCTTGGCTGAAAACGGTGGCCAGGAGCCTACGCGAAGAACAATTATGCCCAAACTGTGAACCTGTTGAAACTTGATGGTATAGGGAAAAAAATAATTATTTCGTGACACTCACAGTAGCACGGATCAATACAATTTGACCCATAAGATATAGAGGGGGAAAACGAACCGCTGTTTAATGTGGACTCCTGCACAAATGTGGTATCTTTGCTCTTGAATTTACTTCTTCAAATTCTCACTTTAGTTGTCATGAGTGTCACAGACAATGAGTCTCCTTTTCACAGAGACCCAACGTTACACACACTAGGCTTGTTATAGAGGTAGTACTGAACTGCAGAACAGCGATGAGCACACAGGCATGCATTTGGGACGGATGAAAACCTGAAATTTCTCACTTTCTTGCTTTACCTCCTCTTACACTTCCATGACTGGTTCTCCACCTACCATCCCTGCATCAAGTACTGATGGGGACGTATATAGTGTTGTACCTGTAGGAAATAGTTTTGTTTGTGTGCGGGGAAGACGTGACGTTTCCGAAGTTTTCTAGAGCCCGTAGCTGTTAACGTTGAATTAACTCTTGAATTCGGTTGGATAAATGAGGTCATCGCTGTTCAGTGACCGAAGTACCGCCGTCTCAACAGGGGAGGGAAGGAAGCTGAGCCCTGACAATGTACATAACACGCATGACAAGAGGCATTGAAAATGAAATACAAGATGACAATAGGTGAATAGACATGACCTCAAGTGCAGTGGCGCAGTAGGTTTGGCATTTCCAAGTTTTGGTTTGAGAGGAGGCTGATTCACGGTTTGCTTTACACCTCCTGCACAGCAACAAACTTTCAAAAGGGAATTGGCCATTTGGCAATTAATTCCACCTGGTTTGGTCATAGAGATCCCTGCTCAACGGCACGATTCGCATTTTGTCGTCTTCTTCTTCCAACATGTCGGCCTTTATTCCCTTTCAATTTCTGGCAGGTTAACCAGTGACTTTTTGAAAACTTCTCTGCCAAAGCAGAACCCTCAAATGAAGGATATTTTTCCTAACTGGGAAAAGTAACCATTTGGAACCTCGAGCTCTCCAAAACAGCTTCATTTATTGTGCAACTTCTGGACCCGATTGCATTCAAATTGTTCAGAATTGGAAGCCTTAATTCCAGGCCAGAGCTTCGGTACGATATTTCTTCAATTCCCGAGTTAAATGCATTACTTTCAGAACTCTCTAATAATTAAAGATTATCTAGTGTATGTTTTTTTTAGGGATGAGATTTGCTGACATCGGTTTCCATTGGTGTCGTCTGCTTATTACTCTGGCAGCTGGCTGAGCACTCATAGTTTCATACAACTCAGGTCAGAACAAAAGATGTTAGTCACAATAGAAAGTTTCGGCATCCACGTGAACTTGTTCATGGTTGTACGCGCATCCGCATGACACCACACGTTGGCTACACGCACTGTGAACATCTAACAAAGGCAGCACGGTGCAATAACGTTAACAATGGACGCTCCTTGTTAGTGCACTGGTGTTTGTTAGATGTTTGTAGTTACGGGTACATCAGTGTTCTGTGAATGAGATATCGCAATCTCAGCAGGGCGGAAAGGAAGCTAAGCCTTGACAATGTATTTAACTCGCATGACAAGAGGCATTCAGAATGAAATACAAGATGATGAAAATGGGTGACACTGACATTGCCTCGAGTGCAGTGGCCAAGTAGGTTTGGCATTTCCGAGTTCGGGCTGAGAGGGGGCTTTAACTGTTTGGTCTAGTTTTCAAATCATAGCAGGGAAGTTACGTGTTTGCCAGATGCAGAACTCTTTCCAGCCACTGCATTGTATATGAATTCAACGCCACGGGTTACGATGAACTGTTTTTCAAGAAAGGCTCTGGCATACGATGCATGAACTAGTTCAATACAGCGGGCAAGTTTTGTACGCTGGGCTTGTTCTAGTCAAAGGTACAGTCTAAAAGGCATGTAATGCGGATTCACATGTATTAGTTTTCCCTGGCTCGCGATTGAGATAGTAATACACGAGAGTATGTTTCTGGTGTTTCATTACATAAGCCTTATAATCTGGCAATATGGAGCCACTAGGGTTCCATATTACTCATACCTAAGGCAGAAAACAGCCAACCCTTTTTAACAGGATGTGTTTTATCTACGTGTGTCTTATTTGACTTCCTTTCAACATGGTGTAAAAATACCTTCACATATACCTCACCCACCAAGTCCATGATATAGAATTGATTTTAAGGTTGCCAACAATTCCGGGTACGCCCTTGATTCAGGCACGACTATTGTGCTTTCCTTTTTTAAGGAAAACGAAGCGTTCCTTGTTCATACCATTTAGGGAGAGTTTCATATTGGTACACCACTTCCTGTTCCTAAATCAGCCATCAGAAAGCAATAGCATGTCTTCAAAAGTCAAATTTATCAAAGTCCCCCATCCTGAAGGCATATTTGTATGATTTTTACTTTCTAAAAGAGGCCATTCCATTTCCTGTAACCCTTTGTGCCACACCATTTAATGAAAGTTTTTCCAACGATACGCCAGAAAGACCGACAGGATTAACTTGGAAAAATCTGGAAATCATTGTTTTAACCTATTCGTAAAGCACACCCACCCTGCCAGTAGCCTTGGCCAAGGCGTTAAGCTACACCGCTCTGCAGCGAGATATCCTTTGTGTAGATGCATTTCCAACATTTTGTTCACTAGTTTTCGTTCACGTTTTTCGAACATCCTTCTAGCCATGTATAATTGGAGCCTCCGCGAGCTAGTGCTTTAGAACTGTTTAGCCCTGAAGAGCCGCATAACTTTGGACCATCTCATCACAGCGGGGGGCGGGGGGAGTATACCCCCCAAGAACTCGGCTTTGCCGCCCTCTGTCTTTTGGAGACTTAGCATACATCTAAACACACTCTTTATTGTAACAAATATGAAGTTTGAACTCAATCGTGGGTTTGTTATGGTCATTTGAATTCAAGGCTACATCTGCGCCAGCCCGTGTGCATTGCGCACTGCCGGCAGCGAAGAACGTGCGCTTTTTGAAATTAATGAGCTGTCTTGGAAAGATGCGCCCTGCGAAAGAACAGTACAAGAACAGCACGTTCGATATTCACCAATCTGGTGTCAAAATGAACACTAAGAGTTACTCTAAAAACTCCTGAAGCCTCAGTTCCTGAAAAAAAATATGCGTTGCGGTGACAACGGAAAAATGTCACGGGGGGGGGAGGATTCCACCCGGCTCTTTTAGGGTTAAGACCATCCACGTGGCGGGTTCTCTACCAATAGGAATGATTAAACTCTCTTGTGAATGCCAAAAGCATGTTAAGAGTTTCGACGGATCATTTTCAGTGCCAAAGGAGAGTGGGCACCAAATGTTTGCACGCCGCTCAACATGTGCACAAAGTCAAGATTGTGTTTAACTTTGCAAAATACAACCTTTTTATATCACCATAGTTTGAAAATAATTGGCTCGACTTTTTTTATGCACAAAGCTTCTTTCAGGAGACGCTTGAAAGAAAGGAATCTGAAGACTTCCTTATGCATGACGTTGATGGCGCCTTCCTCGTCTGTCCCAAGTGCTGTCGGGACAGCTCCAACTAACGTAGGGAGTTAGAAGATGACACGTGAAATGTTCTTTCACTGAATGAAAGATTCCCTTCACCACCGAATGACATTGTTTTCATTACAAAAACGTTCAAGGTTTGTTTCATACAACGACTGACTATATCCTGGGTATACTCTTACCTGAATAAATCATTGTATAATCCACGAATTCCGAAAAATCCTGCGACGAAGTAGTGGAACTTCCAATTGCAGACAAAATGAAACATATGCATTTTTCTGTACAGGGGACCCACGCCCCATGCGTGGGGATGCATCATTATGTGAAGAGTGATCAGTAACCCACCAATCAGTAACGCAGACTTATTTGAGCGTTTTGTATTAAGTCAAGTCATCTGCCATCTTTTCATAGAGGGATCCCAATGGGTGCATTCCACCAAATGGTTGTATTTCTCCGCACAAGCTCATTAATATTTTGTGATCCCACGGCATTTTTACAATAAGACAGGCCACAATCAGCAGGCATCATAGAAATATTTTTATCAATTCCGAATTTACGATTGATAGTTTCCAGTTCGAGGTATTTCTTTCGCTAAAAGCCAAAAATTACCGACCTATTTTGGGTAGAGGCGGGCGGCTACATTCAGAAATGAGCGCTTAGTTTTATTGTTATTTTGGGGGTATCTTCGTTCAAAGGCAAATAATTTTTTTTTTCGTCGCTATCCTCCATGAAATTCAAACGAAAAGTGATCTTCTTGCCATAATCTTGAATTTCCAGTGAAAAACGGAGGCCAACCTCTTCACGAGAGTCAACAGGCGGCGCTATTTCCGTCTGATGTTGTACTGTTTTCTATGGGCGCGTATTTGGTGTACTGCAACCCAATACGACGCGTTTAGCATCGATCTGCGCACTTCCGCTTTTGAAAACGAGGCTGTATGTGTCAGTTTCACACGAATTGACAACGGTGCGGCGAGATAGACACGATGCATACGCAGTGTCAGCCACAAAGTGACGCTGTGCCTACTGCTCACGATTTTTAGTCGTATTACGATCAGACCATTGAAAGTAAGGAGTCAAGACACAAAATACATAAAGATATGTTAAATTCAGACTTTTCAGGCTGCAAAAATAGGCGGAAGAGTCTTTCAGGATGACTCGACATCCGTCATGTGATCCTAGGCCCATTAACTTGTCGATATTACACGTCTAACGTTACTCTCCAGGCCGAGGAAACTAGTCGCCAATCCTTTTTGCTGAAAGGCCTAGAATTCGTCTGTTTAAATTCTGGTGCCTATATTCTCCCATGATACATGCGACTGAACCTTTGTGAGCAATTTGTTCGTCGTGAAATTTCTTCCGAAATTGGAAAATGACTTGCAGATAGTCACACGCATTGCACACCGTGCAAACGTGGAAAAGATTATGTCACACGGAGGGCTCAAGAAAACATGTACGCAGTGAGAGTAAATTTAGAGGGATAAGAAGTTTATTAATATTTTATTGCGATAACAAAGTTTGCACAACTGTTTTCTCACGCTGTGTTTATCAAGTAGCACGCATGCACCTGACAAAGGCCGCACAGCTCACATTTAGATTGATATTTTGGGTGTATCACCTATATGTCATACAGTTGCCCGAGACAGTTGGTTCCTTCTGCAGTGAGCTATATGACTGGATTAATTATTAAGCACACAGCTAGACATTTATTTCAATAAATGATTGACAGATAAAGACGATTCCAAGCTATTTAGTCAAGCATGATATAGTAATCCTTAGAAAACTAATTGCTCCTGTTTGATCCTGTCGTCTTCCCAGACGAGATTTCACGTTCACAGATTGCAAAAGGAAGTATGCGAATTTCTGTTTTCAAGTTAAAACAACCATCTGGAAAAGATTTATACTCTTTTTTGGCGAAGATCATCAGTCTGCATTTCGGTTTTTATGTTTTAAAATCAACAACTTTAATTTATGGCTAGTAGATTTGCCATCTATTTAATTCGAATGACGCACGAATATCGCTAAAAGTTTAGTTATGCATAAACTTTTCAGCACATAAGCCTGTGAACAGTTTAAAGTGTCATTCGTTAACTTCAATTACAATTCTTGCAGTAATATGCGATAATATAGGCTTTACAAAGCTTGCTAAACAACTTGAGAGATAAAGCGATTGCGCGTTATCACACCAAAACACAAACTTTGATTGCGACAAAACAAGTGAAATACAATGCAGACAAAATATAGATTCTATTTTCACGAGGACATCAAAACAGGGTTTGAGCATTTGAATAATAATTACGCCTCGCTGATATGTCTAGATGTAGGTTGCTATACGGCATTCAAAGGCCCATGCTCAGTACGTGTGATTCCGTGTTTGTCCTTGCCAACAGGGCCTTAACCTCGCGCCAGCGTATTTCTTGATGCTCTGTTATGAAATTATTCAAAGTTTTACCAATGTTAATAATCCTTCGCATATGAACTGTGGTTCGTTTCTACATGTACTTTTTACTCACGAGTGATGCTGCACTTAACAACGTCGATGGTTTCTAACGCATTTGATACAAATATCTTTACTGCCCATTCCAAGTTAGATTGCACTTAAATATAAATCATTTGTAAATGGAATGTCCCTCGCTTACTAGCAACTTGAAAATTGCTTTTTAGTAAAGTTGCGGCTTATCATATTCGTCCTCTTGACAGAAACTTTGGGTGAAAACAAACTGACAGTTGATTACTTACACAGACACATGCTAAAAATCAAGAGTTACACATTTGCACCTTCCATAGAATACATTTTTATACGGCTTGGTCTTTTAAATGTCGCCCTCTACGAGAGAGGGAGTCCTGCCTTGCTCAGCAATACACAATCTCTACTTCTCCAACAGCCGTTTATAGAACATCATCATTGTTCTTCTATTTCAAAAAATAGATGTGGACATCACATGAACAAGTATATAACCTAATCTTAAACACGATTTTACATCTGATTTGTACTTTTTTTCCAGCACAGCATGGTATTAATCGGGATCAGGTTCCCTTATTGGCGCTTCTGTTGTAAAACACATCTGAAGGACCCAAAATGGCCGAAGTTTGTGTTTCAAATTGATATTACTGTGCTGTCCAATGTCTGTGTGCACAATATACTGGCTGCTAGCCCTCGTTTAGCCACGCTTCGTCTGAATCACTGGTGAACCAATGTTGCTGGTCCTGGAACTTCGGGCCGGAACTGAGTGTCGGACCACTACACTATCAACACTGAACAACGGTCAAATACCTGGAAATGAATTGTGGAAAACAAATATAAGTAATATTCAAATATCCGAAAATACCTCACAACCTTAGGCAATGAGAAAGTTAAAAGTGGAATCGGCAAAAATGAAGTCAGATGTATAATTTCACAGGGTAACTTTTGACCTCCTCACTGAAAATTGAAAAGTTGTAAAGATGGCTTGAAAGGGTATCCCTGTACACTTTTCCTTCTTCTAGATCAAAAATACAGCAAAATTCACGTAGAAACAAATCACAAACCTATAATCTGTCCCGCGCTGCAACGAGTCAGAAAACCAGGGTGGTAACGACCTATATATATGTAACTGTTTCCTACCCGTAGATTAACCGCTATACATGACTGTTTTTACCTTTAGACTTCTACGAGGAAACTGAGTACGCAAGGGTCGGCACAGACGGGAGACGACTCGAAGGCGGGAATTCTGTTGTTTCGCGCCACTAGCCAGAAGTATTTGGCGCGCTGTTTGCAAGCTGTGCCGTCTGCCTCGCAGCGGGCCAACATCTCGGCCTTGTAAAGCTCGTCGCACAGTTTGCTGCCCACGTCGTAATATTCGCCCTGTGGGTTTGGGCATGATCAGTTTTAATGTGGCCACTTTTCTGAAAGCTGGTAGAATGCCCATGCCAACGAGTAAGCAATTAGTAAACACATGCAACGTGAAAATATGTTTGTGTGTCGAGAAATATCTTTCTGAGATTACCTTTCGGAGATTTTCAGTGATTTACCTGTAACCTTTTACAAAACAACTAGAAAGGATGCTTCTTCCATTTATTTAGCTCTTTTCTTGTGGGGGGATTAAACAGTTATTGTTAAATGTTCGTAAAATTAAATTGTCTTAAAATTATTCCGCTACGTTTCTCAATGTTCTTCCTTTGGATTTGCTATCAAAGAGATACCAGCTGGACTTGTTTTCAACCTAACGATAAGAATTAATTCAGGGAATTTCTTGCGACTCTGTTCTCATGTGCCTGAATTGAGTCACACGTCGCTCAGCCTAGTAATTAAGGTCTCAATTCACGTCAAATAGTTTATGCGCTAACGTGTCCTCAGAGGAATGGCTATTCTCGAGTAAAGCTTTTGAGCATTTGTTTATCTAAATTAAAATAATAAAAACCGCCTCTAAGACACCATCCAGACATGGAGACGCCAACAACACATAGTTAACCTCTACTGAAATTCTCCGAATTTTCAACACTGCTTTTGACAGAGCCCCTTGGTTCCTTTAAAGAATCTTCTAAAGTAATTTGGAATAAGTCACAGCGCCTCTTGTCTCTTTGCCACTGTTATGAAGTAATGAAGGGCTTTTACACTTACGCAAGCATAGCAGAGCTGATGGCGATTACATGCTCCGGCAAATAGTTCCTTGTATCCGTCGGCGCCCAGGTCGCCATAGTTATTAACTATATTACAGTCATCTACAAAATACTGTAGTGAAGAGCATTCATCATCGCCATCTGATGAAAAGAAGGAACGGGAAATATGTTTAAATTTGAAAATCTGACAGAGATTTCAATTTGAAATTATGATTTCTTCCTCTTGTTAATGACGTCTGAAACACAGACTACACAAACCTAAATTTCACGGTGGACTTCCATTCCCCAGTGGAGTATGTATCTCGTTTGATCAGACTGCGCATGCACTACCGCAAACGGGACTCCGTCATAGAACTAGAGGCCCACAGAAATTGGGCTGACCCCTGACCAAGTGGATTTGGAAGGGTAAGAAGTGAATTTAGAGCCCTTTTGTATTGGGGGAGGGTGAGGAGGCTCAACATTTCAGGATTTCTTTATAGCCTCCCGGATTCGAGGCAAAATTTGGAGACATCAAAGACAGAGAGACATTTCAAGCATCTTTAGGCCTAAATAGAATAAGGCAAAACAAACGAAACTGCACTTTTGAGTTGGTTATGGTCCCGTTTCCCACCTCCCCCTGCGCCAATGGTGAAGGTTAAGGATCCTGCTTATCGCCCTACCCGGTTCTCCCTCCTGGGCTGCCTGCTCCACATTGGTCCCGCCCGGGGAGTTCCCATTCTCGTCTGCCTCCTCCACCTCTTTCTCAGGCACACCCTCCCCCTCGCTTTCTGCTTCCCCCGCCTCCTGCCCCTCCCCCTCTGCTTGTTCCTCCATCTTCTCCTCGTCCAGCGCTTGCAAGATGTCGTCTGCAATATCTTCGATGGCCTGATCGATTTCATTTTCCAGAAATTCCACAAGCTCATTATATACTGAAAATTAAAAAAATGACTAGGTACTGTGAACTTTATCACCCCAAACACTTCCAAGGGACTCCTGTCTGGAAAATCAAAATTCATTTCTGTTTTCATCCAGGAGAGCCAAAATCAACTCCAAAATACGAACATTTGTAACACCTCAAGTTTTATACACCCTTGTAGCAAGTGCACTTTATGAACATACTTTGTTTATTAAATGTGACAGAAAAAGAAAGGTAGCCAGCCTAAGCCTGGAATAAGTAAAGTCTGCATGTGATTAACTTCATGGCCGTAAAATGTCGGAAAACCTGAGCTTTTAAAAGTACTTAACTCCCTTAGAGATGGGGACAAACGAG